AAGTCTACCAGAGGTACAAGGAGGAGTTGGTACCATTCCTTCTGAAACTATTCCAATCAATAGAAAAAGAGGGAATCCTCCATAACTCATTTTATGAGGCCAACATCATCCTGATACCAAAGCCTGACAGAGATACAACCAAAAAAGAGGATTTTAGAACAATATCCCTGATGAACATCGATGAAAAAACCCTCAATAAAATACTGGCAAACCAAATCCAGCAGCACATCAAAAAGCTTATCCACCATGATCAAGTGGGCTTCATCCCTGGGATGCAAGGCTGGTTCAACATATGCAAATCAATAAATGTAATCCAGCATATAAACAGAACCAAAGACAAAAACCACATGATTATCTCAATAGATGCAGAAAAGGCCTTTGACAAAATTCAACAGCCCTTCATGCTAAAAACTCTCAATAAATTCGGTATTGATGGAATGTATCTCAAAATAATAAGAGCTATTTATGACAAACCCACAGACAATATCATACTGAATGGGCAAAAACTGGAAGCATTCCCTTTGAAAACTGGCACAAGACAGGGGTGCCCTCTCTCACCACTCCTATTCAACATAGTGTTGGAAGTTCTGGCTAGGGCAGTCAGGCAAGAGAAAGAAATAAAGGGTATTCAATTAGGAAAAGAAGAAGTCAAATTGTCCCTGTTTGCAGATGACATGATTGTATATTTAGAAAACCCCATCGCCTCAGCCCAAAATCTCCTTAAGCTGATAAGAAACTTCAGCAAAGTCTCAGGATACAAAATCAATGTGCAAAAATCACAAGCATTCCTATACACCAGTAACAGACAAACAGAGAATCAAATCATGAATGAACTCCCATTCACAATAGCTTCAAAGAGAATAAAATACCTAGGATCCAACTTACAAGGATGTAAACAACTTCTTCAAGAAGAACTACAAACCACTGCTCAGTGAAATAAAAGAGGACACAAACAAATGGAAGAACATACCATGCTCATGGATAGGAAGAATCAATATTGTGAAATGACCATACTGCCCAAGGTAATTTATAGATTCAATGCCATCCCCATTAAGCTACCAATGAGTTTCTTCACAGAATTAGAAAAAAACTGCTTTAAAGTTCATATGGAACCAAAAAAGACCCTGTATTGCCAAGACAATCCTAAGTCAAAAGAACAAAGCTGGAGGCATCATGCTACCTGACTTCAAACTCTACTACAAGGCTACAGTAACCAAAACAGCATGGTACTGGTACCAAAACAGAGATATAGACCAATGGAACAGAACAGAGCCCTCAGAAATAATACCACACATCTATAGCCATCTGATCTTTGACAAACCTGACAAAAACAAGAAATGGGGAAAGGATTCCCTATTTAATAAATGGTGCTGGGAAAATTGGATAGCCATAAGTAGAAAGCTGAAACTGGATCCTTTCCTTACTCCTTATACGAAAATTAATTCAAGATGGATTAGACACTTAAATGTTAGACCTAATACCATAAAAATGCTAGAAGAAAATCTAGTTAATACCATTCAGGACATAGGCATGTGCAAGGACTTCATGTCTAAAACACCAAAAGCAATGGCAACAAAAGCCAAAATTGACAAATGGGATCTGATTAAACTAAAGAGCTTCTACACAGTCAAAGAAACTACCATCAGAGTGAACAGCCAACCTACAGAATGGGAGAAAATTTTTGCAATCTACTCATCTGACAAAGGGCTAATATCCAGAACCTATGAAGAACTCAAGCAAATTTACAAGAAATAAACAACCCCATCAAAAAGTGGGCGAAGGATATGAACAGACACTTCTCAAAAGAAGACATTTATGCAGCCAACTGACATATGAAAAAATGCTCATCATCACTCGCCATCAGAGAAATGCAAATCAAACCCACAATGAGATACCATCTCACACCAGTTAGAATGGCAATCATTAAAAAATCAGGAAACAACAGGTACTGGAGAGGATGTGGAGAAATAGGAACACTTTTACACTGTTGGTGGGACTGTAAACTAGCTCAACCATTGTGGAAAACAGTGTGGCGATTCCTCAAGGATGTAGAACTAGAAATAGTATTCGACCCAGCCATCCCATTACTGGGTATATACCCAAAGGATTATAAGTCATGCTGCTATAAAGACACATGCACATGTATGTTTATTGCGGCACTATTCACAATAGCAAAGACTTGGAATTAACCCAAATGTCCATCAGTGACAGACTGGATTAAGAAAATGTGGCACATATACACCATGGAATACTATGCAGCCATAAAAAAGGATGAGTTCCTGTCCTTTGTAGGGACATGGATGCAGCTGGCAACCATCATTCTCAGCAAACTATCGCAAGAGCAGAAAACCAAATACCACATGTTCTCACTCATAGGTGGGAATTGAACAATGAGATCACTTGGACACAGGAAGGGGAGCATCACACACTGGGTCCTATTGTGGGGAGGGGGTAGGGGATAGGGATAGCTTTAGGAGATATACCTAATGTAAATGACGAGTTAATGTGTGCAGCACACCAACATGGCACATATGTACACATGTAAGAAACCTGCACATTGTGCACATGTACCCTAGAACTTAAAGTATAATAAATATATATATATATATATTCTTAGGTTTAGAGAGAAAAAAGCTTATTAACTATTAATTAAATCATATAAGTAAATGCATTCAAATCCTCTATTCATAATTATTATTATTTAATTGATCTGAGAAAAAATTGACTAGTATATGAAAATCACTAAATTTTTTTTGTTATTTTCTTACAGTTCTAATAGTTTTTGCTTTATATATTTTCAATCTGTATTAGACCATCATATTCTTATTGGGAAATATGTCTTTTCTCAATGATTCATTTTAATTGTATCAGATTCCTATGATCTTAATAAATATTTTTCACTTAAAAAAAATCACAAGATTATGCAAATGAATCTTCATATTCAGTCCGTCAATGAAATATAATACTAGTTTCAATGTCTTTTTTCCAAAAGCCTAATTTTCAAGTGAAAGCTTTAGATCTTTGAAAGTAATAGAATTAAAGATAAAGATGGAAAGATAAATAATTCATTTCAGCAGTTTTCTGAGAAATACCACATTTTCCAAAATATATATATTTTATAAGAAATGGTTTCTCTTTAGGCTATTAGAATATCAATCTTCTACAATAGGCCAATTTTCAAAGCACTAGGCCTACGTTCACTTAATCAGTCTCATGAAGCAAAACTTGAATTAAGATATTCCATTTAATTTAGTCCACATATTTATCAAGCAAAGAAACTATCAAACAAATACTCTTTCTTGCCGAAGTTCTTGGGATTTCCACGGTGCTTAATGTGTATTTTTTTCAATTGTGAGGTCAAACAACACACATCTTGAGCCATTGTATATGTTACCTGGGTAAAAAAACTAAATTAATCTTTTCAAATATCTAATGGAATCCCAGGCATAGTGATTTATTAAAATATTAAATTAAATTTTAAGAGAAAATTAATCACTAATAATGAAATGAGTTGATTTTCTAAGAAAAGCAAGTATGTAATTAAGGAATCATTAGCAGACTCAAAACCATTACAACATTTAAAAGCAATCAACATTACAATTCTTAGGGTGTGTTTTAAATTCCTCATAACCTAAACATATACATTCATTAATTATTCACTTGCCATGATCAACAATGAAAGATGAGTTAGAAAAACCAGAGGCTTTAATTCAAAAATGACAATCTTTGGTACTGCAGCAAGGAAATAACTAGCTGGTGAAATTAATGACTCCATCTGGCTTTATCTCGGCAATGTTCTGATATACATGCAATGAACAACTTCACATTGTTTGATGTTGTTAATTCTTTACAGCCATCTCTATGGCTGGTCATAATACATAAGGTCAATCCGAAATGATCATATTATGAAACATAAATCACTTCACATGCCTTATCTGGAAAATGTGCTTGTACTTACTTGCACCATCTCAAGTTCCAAGAGCCAAAAATATATACATGCTCATGAAGGAGAATTTCCTTTCTGATTTTAGAACAGTCTGAAAATGGGGGGAAAAAATGAAAAAGAAGGGGGAGCTTACAAATAACAAAAATGTATATCCCAAATGAAAATTAGAATTTCTATGGAACGAGTAGCAGTAACAATAGTAGACAAAAGATAGAATGTAGATGTTAAGAAGATGTCTACAAGGGAAGCACAAGACTCCACAGGCTCTTGCTACTAAAACATAGACTCAAGGTTTACCATCTGTAATATTCTGCTGCCAAGTACATCTATGCCACTAGTACTGTCTAAAATGAGGATATATATTAAGAAATCACCAAAAAGGACTGCATAGCAGAAACTTTTCTGATATCAAGGGATCAACCTAACTACAATTATATACAGGTGCCAATTTCCTCTGGAGTAAACTAGCACACTGGGCCTCATGTACCAGTTAGATAATCCAAACCAGCCCTTATTACATAACTTATCTAAAATATTGGACTCTACATTTTGGCTCTGCAGAACTGAGAGAAGAAATGTATAAATAGGATAGTGATATTGCCTTTGTCTATGAGAATTCTTGAGTCTAATAAAAAAAGTCTGGGAAAAATCTAACTCCATGATTACACTTGGGCACATAGGTGATTAATATGAATGAAGTAACAACCATAAATACAATCATAACCACAAGAACAACAGTAATTCAAATTTTTTCACTTCACAGATGTTCTTAGAATGCTTTATTGGTATCTTGCAGGTGCTGTCCCCAAGCCTCAGGTGTCATTCCATAATCTCAGTTGATGCAAAGGCAAACACCACACTCTCCTCTGTTCAATGTCTGCCATCCCTGTCTTTTTGGCCTCTGACTCTTCCCTATACTACTATCTGTGCACTTGAGATCTTCACTGACATAGCTGGGCTCTGTATTTATTGATAAGAATATCTCCTTTCTCTTAGACTAGGCATGACCAAAAGGTTAATCTGGGTTCAAAGATCAATGACAATGACCACTCAGTTTTCATTCAAGATCAATTTTATTTATTGTACAAACAAACATGGGTTACATTCCAGACAAACAGATATAAGTGAGTAGACTTATGCCCTGGTGCCTCCTTGGCCCTTCACAGGATGCAAAACAAATCCTGCCAGCAGGAAGTGGCAGTTTGCAGAGGTGGCAGGTGGCAGAAGTGGCTGGTTGTTCTTTGAGCTGGCTTGGACTTGTCTGGCATGCACAGGCCCTGGCACAGCAAAACATTCAGGGAATAAGAGTGTTGCACAAAAGATTTTACCAACTTTGTCACATTAAGCAGCATTCAAGGATTTGCTGACCACCACTTAAGCAAATTTTGTGTTATGCTATAGCAGTGAACTTACTTGTTCTATTTCTAAACAAAACATTGGGTTCACACACAGGCCTGGACAAAGCTTCTCACTTCTGGACTATTTACTGATCTTCTTATTCTCAAAGAAAGCAAGATGAATGATGCGTCATACCATGGCTATGGCGTGTGACTCTTCTAGACCTGGATAGTTAGTGTCCCAATATTTAACTGATTTTGAGGGGGACTGAAAATATGCCATCAGTTCTTCCTTCTATCATCCCCATCACTACCATACACATAATGACATAATCATGTCACAGTATGTCCTCAGAATCACTATTTCTAGCTTAGTGTATACTAAGGCTTTATATCTAGGTCAGTCCATTGTACCTGTGTCTCCTCTACACCCTCCTTCACCATGCCTACCTTGAGGAATTCAGCAAGTGATCATTCACACAAGTTAAGGATTTTAGCTTTCTCTGCCATAAAGATTATTGCTAAAATACATACCATACAACAAACCAACTCATTTCCCACAAATCTTATTGTCTGACTTCTCGCAGAATACATAATGACTTTTATTGTGTCTCTTCCTTCCGTGTTTCTCTTTCCTAACTGAACTTTGTTCTTTATCCAGGCCTTCTTCCAATCCTGACACATTTTAAAACCTTTAGCATTTCTGCCTATAATATTCGGGTGTTCTTCTTTTCCTATCTTTACTTAATAAGTCCCACACAAATATTTTCCCCATAATCACAATGTTTTCTTTTCCCTTTGCTCAAGAACTGAGTTATGAGCTCCAAATGAGGTCTGAAAAAATTTGGATAAACTCTACATTGGCTAAGTTTTAGTCATTTGCACTGCTAATAAAGATGACAATTCAACATGCTGAAGACAACTTCCTCCTTCATAAAGGGGCTAACACAGAGGGCAATACTGTTCATGCTTCTGATTCTTGATCACAAGAATTGCTTTAGGCAATTACAATAATGTCTCCTCTGACACATATTATTATTCAAGTGAGACAGAGAAAGAATATGTCCTATGTCACACAGCCAGGTGGTGACAGCTGACGTAGCATCAGCACACTGTGTTCCCTCTAATTTCTTCATTCATCTCTAGGTGGCAGTAAATCTGGTCCTGAATACTGACTTTGACACTCTGCTTTATCCACATCCTTCCTGTCACTTCCTTTGAGACTACTTCAGATTCTTCCCTTAGCTTCTATTTCTCCATTTGTAAAATTGGGTTGATGAGGATATCTTCCTTCAGTAGCTTTGACAATAAAAATGGGATCATCACGCATCCTCCTTAGCCCCATGAGTAAGCTCCCAGTAAGTGAGGTTGCCATCATTATTGTATATTTAAGGTGATCTACCCATTTGAAAAACCCTAGTCACAGAGCCTCAGTTGCTTTTCTTTTTGGGTGAATGATCACTTGCTGAGTTCATCAAGCAAGCTCTTTAACATTTACCTTCCTTTATTATGCTGGAGCATTTCTAATGTAGGAGGCTTTTGTGGCTTCTCACTATGACTGCTTTGTTTGTTCAAAACTTATACAGGCTGAGTATCCTTTATCTGAAATGCTTGGGTCAGAAGTGTTTTGAGTTTCAACTGTTTTCAGATTTTGGAATATTTGCTTATATGTAATGAGATATCTTGGGAATGGGACCCACATCTAAACACAAAATTCATTTACGTTTCATACACACTTAGCCATATACATGTAACCTGAAGGTAATCTTTAAACAATATTTTAAATACTTTTATGCATGAAACTAAGTTTTGAATGTGTTTTGACTGTGACCCATCACATGAGGTAAGATGTGTGGAATTTTCCACTTGTGGCATCATGTCAGCACTCAGAACATTTTGGATTTTGGAGAATTTCAGATTTTGGATTTTCAGAGTAGGTGTGTTCAATTTGTATATATGGGTCAGATTCAGTTGTCTCCTTTAATCCTTGGCTGAAGGAAGCACTAAAGACTTTGGGGCCTCAATCTCCCATATGCAGTGACACTCTCAAAGCCATTGACTCAGCTTCTCACCTGAGTTTCCTTCCAGTAAGCCACAGATAGAAGTCATAGATGATGGTAGGGGCCTGGTGGCTGATGGCATTCCAGTACTGGGTTGTGAAGTTGCTGGTGGTGAAATCAGCATATGGCCTCCTAAAAGCTCTCTCAAATGGAATTGGAATTTCAAAGGTTGGCAAGACCTGGAATCCTGGGGAAAAAAAGAGAGAGAGTGTTAGAGGAGAATAGGAGGATATAAACCATCATAGTGGAAGGTATTTGTAATGGGTCACAGCAATAAAGACAAAGGATTTGCTGTGTAGAGTCAAGAATCAATTTCTGAGAACAATATAAACATTTTTATGCTAAGCAAGTGGTTATCTGCAAAATGAAACAATGTGAATGGGTTAAGAATTGGATCCTTTATTTGAAACATCTACTCTAAAACAAATTCCTGGGGAAATGCACGTAGTCATATAAGGGGGTACTGTTCAGAAAAAACATAAATCTGCATTTAATTCTAAGGTTATCTAGTCTATTCTGAAAGCCCCAAGGCAGAGGCTAGAAACTTTATTTCCCTGGCTGGACCATTACTTTCAGAACCATTTAGAAAGTTTCTTAACATTTTATTTCAATCTTTATTAAAAGTTTAACTAAAAAATTCTAAAGGCAATATTTTCTTGTGTTAGTTTACTTTCAATATTTCTCTGGGAATATGGCAGACTCAGTTGTCCACTCTGCTATCCAGGGTTTTATTCATAATAGTGTCTTTTTATAGAGTAAGCTTAATTAAGAACTTTTTACATACATTTGTGAATTCAGTAGTTCTTTCAAAAAGATATTCATTTGAATTCAATTTTATTTAAGGTATGTAGGTTTTTGCAAAGCATATGCTAAGCTCATTATTCAATTATGATGTCAGTTATTACAGTAATATGATTATTGCCCTACTTTAAAAATGCCAGCTAAAAATCTATCTGAAAAATATAGCTCCTCTTCAGAGAAGATTCTCAAGAATCATCTGGTCCATAGGGATTTATACTTTAAAAAGATGGTGGTAAATTAAAAAGTTATGTACAGGTTGATAGCATAAGAGATTCTGATCTCCACACTGACATTCTGATCTATATATCCATATACTTGTTCAACGTTTCCAATTGGAGGTGTAATAAGACATTCACATTTAACAGCTCTAAAGTGGGCCTTCTGATACACCCACTACTAATGACCCCCTTCCCAATGCGTACACAAACTTGCTGTTTCACCAATCTTCTACCTCTGACCAAATGGTAATTCAATTTGTTTAGTAGTTCAGCCAAAAACTTTGGGGTTATCCTTGATTCTTCTCTTTAACAACCCACACACAATTGAACAAAATCTATCAGCTCTCTGTTTGAAAAATACCCAGAATCATAATTTCCACCTGCTATCTCTCTGATCAAAACCACTACTGTAGCCTGGAATGTTGCAATACTGTCCGAAGTGGTCTCTGCCACTACCCCTGTATCCCCAGTCGGACCTCCATGTAGCCGCCAGAGTGATTCTTCTAAAATGTAACTCAGAGTATATTACAGGAACTTCTCCATTCAGAGCCCTTCAATGGAATCTCTTCTCATTTAGAGGCAAAGCCATGGTCTGCAAGGCCTTGCACTCTCTGCATCCTCTCTCTCTGCCCACCACTCTGACTTCATCTCTTACCGCTCTCCCTCTCAGTGCTTCTGCTGCGGCCATACTGGCCTCCTTGCTGTCCTTGAATATGATTAAAGAACTTTAGCACTTACTGTTTCTTCAACTTGGAATATTTCATCCACATGTCCTTCTGATTTGCCCTCTCATTTATTTCAGGTCTCTACTAAGAAGACACCTTATCGGAGAGACTTTCTTTGGCCATCACATATCAAATAGCAGCCTTCCCACAACACTATTTACTTCTTTAATCTCCTTTATTTTTCTGCACTCAACCATATCTGATGTATATTTCTCCTAAGATTTAAATACCAGAATGAAATTTTGTGTGCATTGTTTGAACTTATACGGTACCTTAAAGAGTGGCTGACTCAGTGACTAATAAACAGTTTTTGACTAAATGAACGAATAAATATCTCAGCAACATACAATTACTTTCCTTTTCCTAAATCTATGTCAATCCTTCCTTTAGTCATTTCAAATATATTTATTTAGCATTTAACACTTGCCAGGCACTGTGGTAGATGCTGAGGTAAAAAAAATTACATATGACATATTCCTTGTCTTTAAAGAATTGGCAATCTGGTGGGAGATGTGGACAATTCATGATTACAATACTTTGCCTGAGTATTCTGCTAGAGGCCAGGACAGTAAGCTCTGGAGGAATACAAAAGAAGCATCTAGCTCTGTCTGGGTGCCAGGAAGGGGAGGGGTGGGGCTGGGTTAGGAAGGCTTTCTGAGAAAGCTGTCCATATGGTGATCGCAGGCGTTTACTAAAATGTTCACTGTTCTAACCACTGTATGAAGCACTTTATCTCCCTACATTCTCCGAAGAGCTCCCTAGAATAGAATAATTATTATTCTCATTCACAGATAAAAAAATTGATATACAGGGAGAAACTGAGAGACTTTTTCAAACTGATACAACTAATAAGCAGTGGAGTCTACTGAATGGTGGGACGCATCCCAGCATATAACAGCTATGTGAGCACGGATTTCTGTTTAGTGATACATCCTCAGCACCAAGAATAATGCCTATTTAATGAATACAGGAGTGAGTGAATGAGCTAGGATTTGAATCCAAGTCTATCAGATCCCAAAGCCCAAGACTTTTAACCATGAAGCTACGGTCTTTCTGATGTGACGGACAAGTAGAAACTCATGCACATGTAGAAAATGTAATTTGGCAATTGAAAACTGCACTCTACATCCTCATAGGTCAAAGAAGAAATTCAAATGAAAACTTTTTAAGGATTAGAGAATAATGATAACATAAACATTATACAATAAAATGTGTGGGATACAGCCAAAGTGGCATTTGAGGGAAATACAAGCCATGAATGCATGTATTAGACAAGCCGAATATTTGTGGGCTATATTTCTAAGTTAAAGAGAAGAAAAACATAATCAAAGAAAACAGGAGGAAGGGGAAAAAAGAGATAAGGCAATACATCTATGCAACAGAAAACACAGCAGCGTAATAAAGAGTCAATAGGCTGGGCTCAGTGGCTCATGCCTGTAATCCCAGCACTTTTGGAGACCGAGGTGGGTGGATCACCTGAGGTCGGGAGTTCGAGACCAGCCTGACCAACATGGAGAAACCCCATCTCTACTAAAAACACAAAATTAGCCAGGCGTGGTGGCGCATGTCTGTAATCCCAGCTACTCTACTCAGGAGGTTGAGGCAGGCGAACTGCTTGAACCCAGGAGGCAAGGTTGTGGTGAGCCAAGATCATGCCATTGTACTCCAACCTGGGCAACAAGAGCGAGACTCCATCAAAAAAGAAAAGAAAGAGAAGAAAAGAGAAAAGAAGAGAAGAGAAGAGAAGAGAAGAGAAGAGAAGAGAAGAGAAGAGAAGAGAAGTCAATAAAGCCAGAAGTAGTTGGTCCTTTGAAAAAAAGAAATAAAGTAGACCCTTTAGAGACTAGCTAAGAAAAGACACACAAATATTATGAATTAAAACAGAAGCATAATTACAGATATAGTTTAGGACAAAAATATTAATATAATATGAAAACAATGTAAATACATTTTAAAACAGATAAAATCTTAGAAAAAGAGACAAATATAACTAAAACTGATTCCAGCAGAAAATGAAGCCTGCAAAATTCTTTAACTATTAAAGACTGAAGCAATAAAAAATGTTCTCACCAAAAATTATAAATCCAGATAATTTAAAGGTGCTTTTCCCAAGTTTTGGAGAAACAGATTACTCCACTATTACACTTTCACTCCACTAAGCATTTTCAGAGAATAGAAAAAACAAGGGAACTATATGATTAGCAAATTGAATTAAACAAAATATAAAAAAAGATAATACGGCATGACCAAGTTGGGTTTATCCTAAAAATGGCAGGAGAGTTTAATATTTGAAGTCTTCTGCTTAAAATTAGCAGCAAGACAACAATATGCACTATTGCCATTTGTATTCACCATTATAGTAGAAGTTCAACAAGAAGGCTGGGCGTGGTGGCTCATGCCTGTAATCCCAGCACTTTGAGAGGCCAAGGCAGGCAGATCATGAGATCAGGAGATCGAGACCATCCTGGCTAACATGGTGAAACCCTGTCTCTACTAAAAATACAAAAAATTAGCCAGGTGTGGTGGCAGACGCCTGTAGTCCCAGCTACTCAGGAGGCTGAGGCAGGAGAATGGCGTGAATGAACCCAGGAGGCAGAGCTTGCATTGAGCCGAGATGGTGCCATCAACAAGAAAAATAAAGACCTAAGGCTTGAAAAAAATGGGGATAATACTGGTATTTTTGCAGATTAAGTAACTGTCTACATAGGAAATCAAGAGGAAATTTTATACAATTTCTAGCAATAAGTTTAGCAAGATAGCTGAATATAAGGTCAATATACAAAAATCAATTGCATTTGACATCATCCACAAACAATTAAAAAATATATTTTTACAAAAGACATTTAAATTAGTAAAAAAAAAAAAAAAAAAAAAAAAGCATCAATTACCTAGGCCCTAGGTATAAATCTGATAAAAGATGCTTAAGACCTATATGCAGGAGATTAAAAACTCTTCTTAAGGGACACTAAAGGAGACAATTCTATGGAGAGATAGCCCATGTTCACCCACCCAGCTATCACTCCTTGTAATATCACTGAGACTATATATGCTCAACCTCCTGTTAACATGGCTACTGCTCCTAGTAGGAAGCATTTTTATCCCTCCTAAGAGTCCCCGATAGGAAACACAAATGAGTTTAATTTGAATGCAACATCAAATTAATTAGTAATAGCTTCCAGAAATGCTGTGTTAGAAGGGAATCCAGAACAGAGCCTTGGCACAGGGATAACCAATGTCATATCAGCCTACAATGTTTGCTATAGGTGTGAGAAACTGTAGAGCCACAGTGTCCAGCTGTCCTGCAATAGAACTCTCAGTGTGGTACCATGGCTTCCCATTGGAATATGAAGAGCCAGTGTCATCTATGTAACAGGGACAGAAGGGGTGTGTTCGCAGGTACTAAGAAATCCTACAGAATAGCAAAATTCCCTATTTTTATCTTCTGCCATCATTAGATGTTTAAGTTGTACTCAAATTGATTTCCATGGTTTTTGTACATTGAACAGATTAAATCCCTTACCTTCAGACAAATTAATCATTTGTATAGTACAGGGTTTCTCAAAGAGCATTTCCCCAAGTATCAAGAATCATCTAGATGCTTATTAAAAATATAGTTTCCTCAGCATCACCCAAGACCTTGGTCCCAGGGTCTAAGGAATCTGGATGTTGTTTTATTCTCCCATAGTGATTCCTATTCACTTTTACAAATCACCAGTAGAGTAGTTAATGCACACCCAAGAGAGGCAAGTTGCATAAATTAATGGTCAGTATTACAGACGCAATCAGGAAGGAATAAGATCACTCGACTTTTCTAAGTCCCATTGGTCACTGATCATGTCACATTCTCAGTGATGTATCAAGAAGGGAAGGGGTGTGTACAGGACCCACTGCCCCAGCAGGGAGGAGTATTTCAGCATTTTATCACTGAGATTCTTTATAACTGCCAACTTTTGCTTTATTTCATCACTGTTTTTTAAAATCTTTATAACCAATGGACCCCCTACTGCTTACAATCATGTATGTGTTCCCAATGACTCCTTTCCTTGGTAACCACAGTACCTTCTAGTTAATTACCACAGATTTACAATTTCTCATTATTTTGTCTCTTTATGTACTTTCTGTCTTTCTCCCCATGTAGGCTCTAAGCTCCATGACACACTTTGTCTATTTTTTCTCTGTGTCAGACACTAGTAATTATGCAGATACATGGCTAAAGTACTTACCCATTTTGCCCCAATTGCAGGGATTGAGGTTACCAGATGTACAGTGGTAGACTAACATTGACTTAGGTCTGGAAAATGAAATAAAAATTAAATAAATACAACAGAATGGAAAACTAATGAAAGAAAAATAAGGGAGACAGAGTTGTTTCCATAATTCATCTGATTAAGGCAACCTATGCAAGAAGGCTTCTGTATTTTTTTCTTTCTTTGGGTTAATAAGCAAACTGGAAGAAGAGTAGCAAAAGGCTGTGTGTGGGGGGGTGCGTGTGTGTGTGAAAGACATGTGTTAAATAGGAGTGACATATTATGAAGCACATATGTGTGAGTTCACATAAGAAAAATTTAATTCTGTTTACCACTTACTAACGCAGCCAAATGTATGAACAACCTGTTTTTCTTTTTTTCCTTTGTACCAGGAAACTTCCCCACACATAGTGATTGAACACTTTTGGCATTAACCAGAGTTCAACTAAAAAAAAATATTCTCTCATTTCATCCAGTTCTATCTCCTTTGCCCTAAAAAAGAAGGCTGAATGTTAAACTACCAATAGAAAGAAAAGCCTTTTGGTTATCAAGAATTTTTTGGTTAAGTGATTTAAATGTTTTATTACTTTGTGAGTAGCCAAGTACTAAACTGTATTTTGAAAACAACTCAACATATATATGATGGCATATTAGGAACTCTATAAAATATTGAAATGAACACCCTCTCACATTTGGGGTCTTATACAATGAAATGCCTATATTTGGAAAATGTGCCTAATAGATGAACCCTCCCTCTCATGAAATCTTTGAAAGCCCACTTGAGCATCCACACCTGTGAACTGCAGCACACCATCCTCCAGCTAGCGGGAGATTGATGGCTGTATCAACCGGAATTGGAATTTAGTCTGCCACAGCCATTGGAGTAGTTTTTATGGCCAGAAGAAACCCTTTCCCAGCCTGCACAGGAAAAAGAACATAAAATGTGAAACCAGGTCTTAAGTAACAACTGGGGCTAAAGTATGTATCATCAAACTGATTATACTAGTGCAATAAGTGAAGACAGCTAACATCGATCCATCGCTTACCAGGTTCCTACACTAAGTCTGACTTCGTCAGCCTATCCTAGCTTCTCAGCCAAGGTCACCTTCAGCATTTTCTTGAACTACTAGTGTTCCTCATGTTCCTTTAGGGAATAAAATTCCTCATATTTGTGAGAGGTTAATAAACTTAGTTAATTACCAAACACCAAGAATACACCTTCACATTTTAAAAATTAATTAATAAGACGTTAAGAATTAAGGTTACACAAATTTCCCATTAATGTTTACCATTTCCTTGATGATTTTGTTTTCTGCTAGGGTTTATTAACCCACAAGCAATAGTAGGCACTGAAAGTTTAAGAAATTTTATTTGAAAAAAATTAATTGGTGAAATTCCACAATTAATAAGACAAAAACTTTTTTGGCTTAGAAAAATGGTCTTATTATTTACTTTTTATTCAGAATCTCAGTTCACCTCACAGATCACTAATGTTATATAGATACAGGAGTTGGGAATTATTTACATTAATAATTTGTTGAGTTTATGAAGTTGATTCTTTCTGCTTTGCATGTTTCCCACTTTGATTTGAAATGATTAGCACTTTCTTACCTTACTCAATTCTCTTTTCTTATAACTAGCTCCCCTTCTTTTGGACGTAAGAAACCAATTTAGAACATTTTTTAAAATGTAAATAAATATGCATCTTTGCATATAATGAAAACCGCTTTGGGATCATGTTAAAATAATGATGTTCTAAGTCACCAAACGTTCACCCCAACTGAACTTTTTTAGGAGAAAGAGTTGAAGGCAGGTGGGAAACAGAAAGAAAGGGGCTGCTGGAAAAATCTGAAGTTCGAAGGAAGGTCTTTGTCACTATCATAATTCATCGTTTTATATTTGTATTTTAATTCATGTTGAATCTAGCTCTGGGAGGAATAGAGACAGAGTCTGAAGCGCAGTTCAAATCCCTAATAAGATTTAAACTCATTTAGATCACTGATTTCCTACTCACTGTACAAAAAAGTAAAGTGGCATTTAGGCCCTAAATGCCTCAGTGTGAGCTGTGAACCCCACAGCTCTACCGGATCCATCTGGACTTCAGGGAGATGCGCACTAAGGGCTGTTTACCTAGAGGAGCCACGTTTCTCCTTGTAAGACATTATTGAAAAGGCCTTGCTGGCACATGTGTACCCATGTAACAAACCTGCACGTTGTACACATGTACCCTAGAACTTATAGTAATAATAATAAAAGAAAAGGCCTTGCCTATATTCACTGGTGTTTGTATTTGAAAAATTTGCTCCAATATTGGTAGTTCTCTTTCTTGTATTCATTAAGAATTTTTGATGTATACCTGCTTTCCATACACACACGTAAACTCGTATGTGTTTTATAATAACGAATTTAATAATCTTTGAAGATATTATTTTTACTGCATCCTCAATTCACTGCACTAATTCACGCAATTATAAACTGCAGAAAGGAGGAAATACCCCCATCTTGCGATAAACAAAGCAAAATCCTTGGCAGAACCATGCCCCCCTGCCCGCGCCCCGACCAGCCCACCCGGGCAGCCACTCACCGGTGTGAGTCGTCCTAGCTCCCGGCCATGTGGCCAAGTGAATCCATCCTGCCGTCCGTCTCCACTTTCGCCAGCCCGTACCGTGAGCACCGCCTGCAGGAGGGCTGACCCCGCACGAGGGGCACCCACTAGTACCTCAGCACGTGGCGTGCGGGACTTCATTTGGTCCACATGGCTGGACGGCCTGGGGCCGAGGACACCCCGAAGCCCCGCGACCCCGCCGTCTGCGTCCTGCTATCCAAACACTGCACGCAGCTGCCCTATGGCACCCCAGTGAATGGCCTGGTGTGGGTCCCAGCTGCTGCGACCGGAGCTGGACCCGCCGCGGATGGCCCGCCGGTTTCTTTTCTTTTCTTTTTTGATGGAACCTTGCTCTGTCGCCCAGGCTGGAGTGCAGTGGCGTGATCTCCGCTCACTGCAAGCTCCGCCTCCTGGGTTCACACCATTCGCCTGCCTCAGCCTCCCAAGTAGCTTGGACTACAGGCGCCCGCCACCTCGCCCGGCTAGTGTGTGTGTGTGTGTGTGTGTGTGTGTGTGTGTGTGTGTGTGTGTGTTCGGTGTGTGTGTGTTTGTGTTTTTACGGTGTGTGTGCGTGTTTTTTTTTTTTTTTTTTTTTTACGGTTTCACCGCGTTAGCCAGGATGGTCTCGATCTCCCGACCCCGTGATCCGCCCGCCTCAGCCTCCCAAAGTGCTAGGATTACAGGCCTGAGCCACCGCGCCTGGCCTGCTAAACCGCTTTCTACTGGCGCTGCCGAGCTGCCTGGTCAAGGCCCGGCCCCCTGAAGCGGACAGCGGCGGCCAGGACGGCGCACCCGGGTTCACCCATGGACCTCGCGGCCTCAAACACGAGGGCGCCCCGGGCCGGCGGCTTCATGCATGCGAAGTCCCGGGTCCCCCCTGCCGCCCCCGACACCCGCCCCTCAGCCCCTACTGGCCCGCGCCCCTCCTGCCCGCTGCCCTTCCGTGGCGCTGGCTTAGGACACCCAACCCGGCCTTTATGAGGCGCCCCCCAGCTCCCGGCTCCCCAACCCCCACCCCTGCCCGTTTTCGGTAGCTTTGGCGCCGCCGCCACAGCCCTGGGCCTAGGCCTGGCACCCCCAGTCGCCCGCGGTCTCCTCGTGGTGGCGCCGGCGTCCCGGCTGGAGCTGCTGGAGGCCAAGCCCAAGAGTGGCGGCCGCTCCTGGCCTGGGAAAGGCACCACCATGTATGCCTGTGAGGCTAGGGCAAGCCCCACAGCAAGAGATCTCACCCGAAGGCACATCCGCGCAGCACACAAGTGACAAGCCGAACCACTGCCACTGGGATGGATGCAGCGGGAAGCTGCTCACTCAGACAAGCTATGGCTCTGCCACCCAAAGCACAGGGGCCACTGGCCATTTCAGGGCCACTGGTGCCACCGCGCCTTCTCGCGCTCCGCCCACCTTGCCCTGTACAGGAAGCGGCACATGCAGCCCAGACGCCCCCGCCCACCTGCGCAAGGCCCCCTCCCAAACTGTGACCGGTATTTATTGCACCCAGAGAAGCGGGCAGGGCACAGTGTGGCTACAGAGGGTCTGAAGACGACGCCACCGCCCCAGCCCCCATCTGTGACTTAAGGCCAGGTGGGAAAAGACCACTATTTGCCTTGACGAGTTCTGTTTCTCAAAATGGTGCAATAATTAAGTGGCATCTTCCCTCCCACCCCACCAGGTCATAAGGCTTGATGTCCTATGAGAAATAAGGGCCTTAACTGGTACTGTCTGTGACATTTTTTATAATATTGTACAAAACTGTGACAAATATTGCATTACTGTATATAGAGCGGCAGGTGGGCATTTTTTGGGCTACTTGCTTCATTTTTATAAGACTTTTGCTGGTTTTATTTTTAAGTTTAAAAAAGTTTTTTTTTTTTTGAGACGGAATCTTGTTCTGTCGCCCAGGCTGGAGTGCAGTGGCCAGATCTCAGCTCACTGCAAGCTCCGCCTCCCGGGTTCACGCCATTCTCCTGCCTCAGCCTCCCGAGTAGCTGGGACTACAGGCGCCCGCCACCTCGCCCGGCTAGTTTTTTGTATTTTTTAGTAGAGACGGGGTTTCACCATGTTAGCCAGGATGGTCTCGATCTCCTGACCTCGTGATCCGCCCGTCTCGGCCTCCCAAAGTGCTGGGATTACAGGCTTGAGCCACCGCGCCCGGCAAAAGTTTTTTTTTTTTAAAAAAAGAAAAAAGAAAAATCCTTAATTCTCAAAGACTTTTCAAAATAGAACTCTTAAATAGTAATTGATAGCGCTTTACCTGTTTTCCTGATAAAAAAATTCTAAAAGAATAAAAATAATTTCATCCTGCCTTCATATTATAACCAGAATAGTTGAAATAATATGCTTCAATTGATAGTAAAGTAGCATTTACGTTTTTGGATCAATGAAGCTAAGCCAGCACTAAGAATTCTGTTACTATTCCTCCACTACATTTCAGAGTTATTTCTTCATCCCTATACATACCGTAATAGTGAGTCGGCTAGGTCCATTTAGATTATCAACCCAACCCTAAAAGAAAGAAGATTTCCATTGGTTACACATTTTAGAAAATTGTTGTTATCTTGGAACATCTGCAGTCTAATCTCAATAAATTTCAAACAAGGGCACTGAGACCCCAGCTAATAGAACTATCTAATTCAGTATTATTAAGATCCCAAAGATCAATGGCAAAGCATTGGCTATTTTGTGCACTTTGTCCAATAATTAAAATTTGGCCAGGATTGTTGTTCATAGCAGGAGCCATGAATGGTTTTGCAGCGTTTTGTGACATCTTAAGGGCTACGGTGGACCTTGTCCTTATATCATGATCTGCTAAGCAATTCGCCAACCATACTTCTCCACCTCAGTCCTGATTTTAGCCTCCTTAGGAGAACATTGAAAACATGATTGGTAATAATGTGTGTTGACTTGCTTAAAGATGTTACAGGAAAGATTATGCTTAAGAGTAGTTAGAGGGAAATGTCTTTTTGAGTTTGTTTCCTAAGCCCCAAGCCATTCAGCTGACCTTATTATGTCTCTTTACCTTACAGTATAAAAGTTGAAATGTGTATAATGGGAGACAAGAGATATGGGAGGAGAAGATGAAGGGACTAATATTAATTGAGCCTTTTCAGTAGGGACCCGCCTTTTACTAGAGTCTGAGCACTCCTCTCCTCATACATTGTCTCATTAAACCAACTCTCCAAAGTAGTATCTGTCCTGTTTTATGGAAAGAACAACTCAAAAATGTCGCATTGCCAGTAAGTGGTGGAACTGGAATTTATCTGCCCCCAAAGCTTCACAGACCTGCTTTGAAGAAGACAGTATAATTCAAAGTACTTTCAGAAGGACACAGCAGTATACTGAGGTTAAAAAAAATTACTATTCCCAAACTGAGATCCTTCTGTGAGCTTTGTAACTCTTGTTTACCCTGGCAGTTAGTTGCAATACTATCAAGTTGGCCATCAAGAACATTCTGGTCTGTTTAAGCTATAGTGGGAAAGCCAAGATATAAAAACATCACCCATGGGAATTTTGAGACTAGAGTAGTTAGAAGCTAATTTAAGATCTCCATCCAACTCTAAGATAGTCAGGGTAACTGCCAGAAAGAGCCTCATGATCCCAAAGTGGGATTTTGCCCTAGTATAATGGGTTCATATTTGATTGGCTGCATTTAGCTATAAATCCTGAGGAGAAGAAGAAAGACATCAGAAAATAATTGGGCTAGAAAAACCTTAGTTTGAAAGCAAAACACAGAATCCAGGTAAGTGGGCTTACTGGGAAAGGCTTATGCCACGTTGCTCCCACAATGGAGGGCCTTATGATGGCGATGGTTAGGCTCCTGCTCTCCTGCTGCACCACCATTTCTCCCAAGGCCTTGGTGTAGGTGTAAGTATTGGGCCAATCTCCGATCCGCTTGGGTGTGATCTCGTCAATAACAGCGTTGTCTGTACATAAAAGGTAGTCAGAGTAAAATGAATTCTAGCAACATGTGTTAGACAATAGACCAAAAGGAAAATGTGAGACACAGTCAAACAAAACTTCCACCCTTTAGCCATGGTTCTGGAATTCAGAACAGTCACATGATACCAAGTTTGAGTGCATACCTGCTTAAAGCATACATGAGCTCTTTTCACTGCTAAGCCCAATCTTATCAGTCAAATCCTGTGCCCTCCCATCCAGACAGGTAGGTAGATAGATGGATAGAATCAATAGCAATGCCACTTTATTACTACTACTAGTGTAGGGCTATTAGTACTACTTTATTAGTACTACTTTAGTGCTACTTTTACTTTACCAGTAGTGATTATTCTGTAGTAGTACTAATTTGAGGTAATTACATACAACCTCTTTACTTCCTCTCCAACAAGCTCATAAGTACATTCATTGCACACATTTTTGAGTCCCATTCTCCCAGTAGTGTGCTGGATGCTGTGTTCAGGGAGTTTGAGCCTCTCATCCAAGGTGTTTCAGTGGCAGCCCTGTTCAGTGTTGTCCCATAGAAACCCAGTGCAGTGATCCTGAAGACTTTAGCTTTACATTTTAAAAATTTCATTCAAGGCAAATCAAATCAAAGTGACTACTTTTGGCAGACTGACGATCTGTTTTACCAATACTATGTAATGCATTTTGAAGGTCTGTTTAGAGCCTGTGATAATAACTTGGTAATTATTTCCAGAGATTTTCAACGAATTCTGAAGTCTGCCAAGTGGGGTGATTATAGCACTCTGAAACAGCTTCAAAATCATGAATATTGAATACTCCTACTTTCAAGATGACATGTATCATGAATAACTGAGTTACCATAGCATCAGCCTAATCTTTCTTAAAAATATGTCAGAACCAGCCGGGCACAGTGGCTCACACCTGTAATCCCAGCACTTTGGGAGGCCACGGCGGGCAGATCATGAGGTCGGGAGATTGAGACCATTCTAGCCAACGTGGTGAAACCCCGTCTCTACTAAAAATACAAAAATTAGCTGGGCATGGTGGTGTGTGCCCATAATCCCAGCTATTCAGGAGGCTGAGGCAGGAGAATCACTTGAACCAGGGAGCAGAGGTTGCAGTGAGCTGAGATTGTGCCACTGCACTCCAGCCTGGTGACAGAGCAAGACTCCATCTCAAAAAAAAAAAGTCAGAACCATTTGATTGATAACCCCAAAATCTATTTACAGCTCTCTAAGAGAGCAAAAAAATTAGTCAATTAAATATGTAACATTTATTCTAGCTCAGATCTATGTGGTTAAATTATTAATATAACATAGCTTTTTAAAAATTAAGCTGTTGGAATATGCTAGTGTGATTTTGCTGATCAATGTGGTACATTTATTTCTATTTTATACAACAGAACATAACTATACTATTTCGATTGTAGAAAATCTTCAGTGTTACCACCTTGCTGACATGACAAATTTTTG